ATAAAAAACAATTTTATAATAAGTTACTAAGTTATAAAAAAATTATATATATATATATATATATATATATATATATATATATATATATATATATATATATATATATATATATATATATATTTACTTACATATGTATACTTTATATTCTGTATATATTTTTGGCTACCGTTAGATAAAGTTTATAATACAATTTTATAATAGTATTAAAAACTTATAATAATTATAAGTTGTTTTAGAATATATACAATAAATGTATTTACAAGATCAAATCAGAGAAATCGACAGATTAAAAAGATGGGAACCTACATTTCAGGTATATTTACATATTTTTATCCTTGTGTATTTATATTAGCACTGTCATAATATATTTTGAACACTTCAAAACACAGTTTCAAAACACCAACTTAAAATCCTTAAAATTTCTAAGAAAATGAAGAAAAACAATTAATGATAAAAAAATGATTTTTTTTTTTCCTATGATGAAATTTTTATGTCTAGATAATGTCTGGCTAACTTGAAATTAATTCAATCCATTAATATTTTTCAATAAAATCTCTTACAATCATTTATAAATAGTTATAAAGTAATCTTAAGTAAATACTATGACATAATAATAATAAAAGTAAAAATGATAATAATAAGGATGATAAATTAACAATTATAAGAATAATAAGATAAATATATAATAATAAATCAATATTATTCTCAAAACAAAATTAAATATTATGCACAGACAGGGAAGTTACAAACATTTATATACTGACAAATGCAACAATTTATTTTTTAATTTTTGTTTAATTTTATTTAATTTAGTTTTATTTAATGAATATATTTTAGGTAATTATTGTTCAATCTCTTGTAACATGGACGTGCATAATTTAAATTAAGTCAAAGTTATTGAGTACTTGATGATTATGTATATATATATATTTTTATATATATATATATATATATATATATATATATATATATATATATATATATATATATATATATATATATATATATTAATTTAAATTAAGTCAAAGTTATTGATTAATATATATATATATATATATATATATATATATATATATATATTATATATATATATATATATATATATATATATATATATATTATGTATATATATATATATATATATATATATATATATATATATATATATACATATATATATATATATATATATGTATATATATATATGTATATATATATATATATATATATATATATATATATATATATATATATATATATATATATATGTATATATATATATATATATATATATATATATTATATATATATATATATATATATATATATATATATATATATATATATATATATATATATATATATATATATACAGGCCTCGGCAGGAAGAAATGAGTGCAAGAGTGGTGAAAAGCTCTCCTAAAATAAACACGGTGAGCTATACGAGCTATACGAGTCAAAGTTATTGATTACTATATATATATATATATATATATATATATATATATATATATATATATATATATATATATATATATATATATATATATATATATATATATATATGTATATATATATATATATATATGTATATATATATATGTATGTATATATATATATATATATATATATATATATATATATATATATATATGTATATATATATATATATATATATATATATATATATATATATATATATATATATATATATATATATATATATATATATATATATATATATATATATATATATATATATATATATATATATATATATGTATATATATATACAGGCCTCAGCAGGAAGAAATGAGTGCAAGAGTGGTGAAAAGCTCTCCTAAAATAAACATGGCGAGCTATACGAGCTGCTTCTCTAAATTCTTTAGACGAACATTGTTTTTATTGGTTATAAAAAAAAAGTTTTATATTTTCTTATTGTAATGGAATGCAGGGATTTTAAGAATTGTTAAAGATAATTATTAAAATGACTGCGTTTTTTATTTTAGTTGCAATAATAATTAAACTTTTGAGAGAAAAAAATATACTTTTGCGAGGGTCATAAATTGCTCCCGACCAAACCCTCAGTCGATGTAGCAGCACTCCCTTGCGAGTCAGGCTATTTGTCAGTCGATGTAGCAGCACTCCCTTGCAAGTCAGGCTATTCGTCAGTTGATGTAGTGTGTGATGTTTAATGCATCAACAACTTTTTTTAACTTTGCCATTTTAATTTGCCAGAATTGCAAAGTAAATTCAATAATATTACATAGAAGCGTTTACACTTTTTATACTAGAAAATTTCTTTAGCAGTACTTTTTATTGACAATTCAAATCAGTGGTTAACACAGTGAATCTTTGCATGCCACAGCCTATTGTTTTATATGAGTTAATACCCCATTATAAATGCCAAAATTGATGCTAGCTCTGTTAGAAGTAATGCTGACGATTTTGATTTTGTACACTTTTTGAGTTATATTCCCCATTTGATTGAAAATGCTATCAATAGATTTAATAGCATTATTGCTTGTACCTCCCAAATCGTTCATCTTTAGTAGAGATACAACAAAAGAACTATCTTTAGTTTTTTTGGGTTGAAATCCATCCAAAGAATAGAGAAAATTTTTTTCTCATTGACTATTTTAGCAACATTATCTTTAACTGTATCAGCTATGCATGAGATAAAAATATGCGCTAAAATTAACAAGTGAAAAAAATTTGGGCGTAAATTAATATATAAACAAAAAATAAATAAAAATTTAATGTGATTTTTGTCAATTCTATTAGTAATTATCATATTGAACCATGAAAATCCATAACCTGATTTATTGTTGGTTTTTCCTTCTTTAAAACATACACTGTTACGTTTTTGGCATTTACTTATCTAAATGTTGTTATGGGACATATTTGGTTTTAAAGTCATTTCGCTGCTCTGATCATCTTTAATTACACTTCAAAGTTGTTTTGCTCAGCAGTTAATGAATTTTAAATATCAGTGATAATGAGACAACCATTTCCAATTCCTTCACTAGGGTTTCCATTATCGATTATTACTGCTAATTTATGAATATGTCCTTTAAGATCACAATCAACCTTCACAAAAACTTAAGAATTTCAAGTTAAAATTTATAAATTTTATAGAATCTGTTGAGAGTAGCTCCATAGAGTTGGAAAAGAATTGCACATAAATAAAATAAAACTATTAATCTCAGAATATTATTAGATAAAATTTAGTTTTAATCGATCAAGAGAAAATTTAGTATTTCCTGAATTAGCAAAGCAAAATAATTATAAAAATTTTTACCTGATGTTTTGTTACCACATTCTGTAAATGTTTTCAAAGAATCAATTGCTGCTCTGATTACTTAAGGTTCTCTTAAAATAGCTATTTTGTTCCTTGCACAAAGCTTACACCAAATTTTAATAACTAAACCATTTTCTTCCAATGAGTCCAATTATTTCTTCTTTCCCCCACTAAAAAAATATTTTTTAATTCTTAGACAGGTTTAATAATTTTTTTTTGCTCCTATATTAAAAATTGAATTAACTTGGGATATAATATTAATATGCTTATATTTATTTTATAATCTATTTTATAGTATAATAAAATCAACAACTTTAAATTTTGTGTTATTAGAATTCAGTGTGGGTTCTGGTGATTGCTAAAAAATTGTGGCTATCGCATAATTTTTTGTAACTTTTCAAAGACGACGCATTTTGATAAAAAACAATTAAGTTATTTTTTCTTTTGTTTACGTTACTGCGAAGAATCGTTAAGAATCTTTTTTTTAACTTTTAAATGTGCGTATTTATTAAAAAATTGTTATTTTCTTTAAACAGAATATGGGTAATATTATTTCATAAAACATTATTAAAGATAAACGATTTAAAGTTATTTCAAACGTAATTTTATCGTCATAGTTTATTGTTTTGTTTAAGTTTAAATTTTGATTTATTGGTTTTAGTTTTAATTAAGTTTTTTTATTTTTTTTTATTTTTTTTTTTATAATTTTTTTTATATATTTATATTTTTTTCAACATCTTTACTTCCAACATAGATGCAAGCAACTAATATTAGAGTTAGAAGTTACTGGAATAGAAAAGATAAAAATTAAAGAGCAAGATAACAATTAGCAGACGACTTAAAAGATTGCAAATTATATGAATCAAGAAAACAAGAGGAAGGCAGCAAATTCCAAATGACTTATGTTTGAGGAAAAAAAATTTGAAAAGTTAGAATTTTTGGAGCACTTAGGAACAGTTACAGTAAAAGGATGAGACTTAAATGATGAGTAACACAACTTACATGAGTAACACAAGTACCAACTATGTCTACAATCTGTTTTAGCACCTTGTCTAAAGAGAAAGGGCATCATTGAAAGATCTATCCCAGATATGGCAGCAGTTAAAGTTCAACAGCCACTGAGAGACCCATGCTGTAGCAGAAATCCTTTTCAAGCTCAAATACCCCCTCCAAGCAATCAGAGAGTGTTGGTTTCTTATTAAGACAAGAATAATTGGTAGTATCATAGGTGAACATTGCTACCTAAGATGTGAGAATTTCAGGGAGATCTTTAATGTAAATTTAAATTAGTATAGGGCCAAGGATAGAACATTGAGAAACACCTGAGGTTACAGGATATGAAGAATAGTGCTGTCCATCAAGGTAACCTTTATACTATAATTGGTAAGAAAGAATTCAATAATCTTAAAGATTTTACACCATAAGAAGAGAGCTTATGTAAAAGACCAGCATGTCAAACTTTATCAAAAGCTTTAGAAATGTTGAGAGCAATAGCCTTATCCTCTCCAAATCTATCTAATGCACAATAAAACCTATCAGTTATTATCATTAACAAATCAGCAGTAGAACGAGAAGATCGAAATCCATATTGATGATCAGAAAGTAAGTTATTAGATTCAAGATGAGAACTTAAGTGTTTGTTAATTAAAGATTCAAAAACCTTGCTTTTGATAGTAAGAAGATTAATGGGACGGTAATTAGATGATTCAAATTGCTTTCCCAAGTTTTTTAAAATAGGAATAACAGATACTGCTTTCCAGCAGGCTGGAAGACAAGACTCTGATAAGTACTTGTTAAAGAGTTTTGAAAATATAGACAACAGCTTAGTTAAAATGATTTTTTCAGCGCATTTTAAAAATATATACAAATATTTTTGGTTTAGAGAAATCAACATTAAGTGATAAAGTCAAAGCTATTGAAGAAGATAAACAAAATATTATAACAATTATGAAAAAGTTGAAGGTCAATGTCAAAATAAAAAATGTTATCAAGTTAAAGTCAAAAAATGGATA